TAGCTTTTACAGAATATGAGGCTGTGCAATCGATTACGGACCTTAAGCATTTAAAAAAAATCTCTCAATTGTCAAAGCTTACGGGCCTAAGGGCGCCCTATGGGATCCTCCAGAGGTTTTGGATCATTGCCCCTCCCCTGCCATCGAGCAAATCTAGGCTCCATCACTTTCGTTTTGTGATGATTTTACACAACAAGGAGAAAATAAACTCATAAGCAGGAAGTAAAGCATTAGATTAATCCCATAGTTGCCGTAATAATGTATTGTAGTACAAATGAAAATGATAGCATTTGAAATTGTGAAATTTCCAATGGTCTTTCCGGCAAGCAGATTACTTTCATAAAGTACGGTATAATAAGTTGCTTACAACTCGGAACTTATCAACTCTAAACACTTCTTGTCCTTCAAATAAATAATTCAAAAGCCAGAGGCATAGTCCATACATGGTAGGTTTGTAATGTTATAAAGAATATTTAAAAGAGTGATTAATAATAAAAAAAAATATGCTATACCAAATATTCTTATTTAATTGGCGAATATGGTCAATCCAGTATACTAAGATTTCATCAATACGGTCCTACTTATAGTTTTGATTTTGCTAAAAATTAAAATGGTTGACATCTTTTGAATTGTTACCAACAGTCTCTCATTTCAAATTGATTTTAGAAGAAACACGCATTTTAAAGAAACACACGCGAGATCATCAATTTGTCACGCATTTAGCTGTCCATGCGTATACCGAATTATCACGAATCAAGGGAAAATGTATTTAAAATCAGAAGAAATTGATTTTATTTAAGATATACAAAATGGTTAGAGAGTGCAGTTGCCAGCATCAAACTCACACAGTTGTAAGTACAAAAGTACGTGAATACATTAATTCACTGACAAGTTACTAAAAATTGATATCCAATTCATTTCTTGATTGTTTAAGTAGGCCTAATGATATGTTTGTGTACATAATTAGGGTGCTGCAATTAAACATAAAGTGAAACGCAAATTGTAGGCCTACGTGGCTTTATTAAAAATATTTTTGTTGATGTACCTGCTATTGTCAACAAACACTCAACAAACCTGAAAAAAATAGAAATTCTCAGATCGTCGAAGCAGTCACTCACGCATTTCAATTCTCTCAGGTGGGTAACTACTAGTCTTCTGTGTAATGTAACCTATTTCAATTATAGCAACTTTTGATATGATTCTTTTTCAATTAGTTCTATTAGGAAAAAAATATTATTTTTGTTTTTGTTACTGTTTTCACAGTAATTAAGATACCTCGATGATTCTCTGACAACCAAAAATTCTTATCTAGCGCCCTCGTTAGTTCAGATGCTATTTGTACCATAAGATCTTTCTATCTTCCTACAAAAATCATGTACCTATTTCCTGCTAAAAATGATAATAATAATTAATAATAATAATAATAATAAAAATAATAATAATAATAATAAAAATAAAAACAATTAATAATAATAATAATTTTATTTAACTATTATTATTATGATTATTATTATTACTACTAAACTATTGGATGAATAGGCCCATTGCAATAACTTTCTTTTTTATGATAACACAGTACAAAAAAATTGAAGACGTTTCAACCACTAATCCATGCACAAAGGACAGTTTTGTCTACAATCTCCAAAATTTTTAAATTCTCTACAACATGAAATTAGAAATGCGTCCTCTGTAGGCCCTAATCTTATTTAAAACATGTTAAGAATATCTTACATCCCAAAAAAAAAAATTTCCATATGGAAATATCCCTGAAGGTCACCGTAACATATAATGCTTTTAACTATGTATATACATATTCCATATTTATTCTATTTATATATACACTTACTCTTTATTGAATTTTATTATTCCAATAATTGTTTTAACATTATATGCTTTTTATTTTTTAACTTTGCTTTGTCGTTTATGTTTGCTGTTTTTTATGCGAGGGCCACATGATTGTTAGTAATTGGTTACCGTTGGTAAATAAAGTTAAATAACTATAAAATAAATAAAAAATAACAAACTGATCATGAGCACACAATAACTTCAGTAGCGATACTCAAGAAGTCGGCATAATGGCATAAAGAATAGGCTCTTACTGTACCTACGTTTGTGAGTGAATAGTTCAGCTGCGCATGGGCCATGGCCAGGGGTCATAGGGTGAAACCGCTGGTGGCTGGTGCAGGGGGAGAAGACTCTGATGATGGACATTTTACAACTGTATCATTGCATCAATGATAATTAATTAATTAATTAATGATGATTAATTAATTGTATAATTGTATCATTGTGTATGGTCTAATTTGGTATGATTTTGATTCATTATTTGATATAACATATATATACGGAAAACAGGAGAAAAACCAAACCTAAAACCAAAAGCACAAATTAAAATTGTTGATGCTATCTAAGATGACTCTAGAAATGTTAACAAAAAGATTTATATTAGTGTCTTGTAATAAGTACTTTAATTACCGGAATTTCTCTACTGTTGATTATCATTATCATTATATAGCATTATTAATATTGTTTGTATTATAGTATTATGATCAATCTATCAAATTATTATCAATATCATTTATTATCATCGTCGTCGTCATTGTTGTTTTTTTTTTTAAACAAAAAAAAAGTCAATAATGAGAATAGAGGTTCTTTAGACAAAAGTTTTGAATGAGTACAACAACAAAAACGTCTTAATAATCACAACCGATTTCAACCATTTAGGCTAAACTGGATACAACATGTTTCTTCAGTATAACTGTCATCTTCAGTGTAACAATTGCATACAAGCAATTTCTAGTAGGAGTGAACAAGTGCAATGAATTTTATTATTAAGCGCAAATTAATAAATTTAAGGCGGAGCATTTAAGTTATACAAAAGAATAGTATTGAATAATCAAATCTAACATAATAGTTTTAAACAACATTATTTAGACTA